GGGGGGGGGGGGGGAGAAAAAGGCTAAGGCTGGCTCCAGATGTTTCCTTGACTGAAGTGAAGAAGCAAATGGTGCCTCTACCTCACCCACCTCCTAAAACCCGAGACAAGCCAAAATCCATGTCTGCGTCTCTCTCCTTGGCAGCCAAACAAGGATGAGAATCAATTAAATAACTAAGAATTTGTTGCACTGTAATGACACGCACAATCTGCTATGTAAGGTGGCTGCCTCACTCTGCCTAGTGGTAGGGCCAGCTTAGAGAAGAGGGTTTCGCTTAAAAATAAAAATAGCACCCCATTTCCTCACATATGCCTTTTTAGAACAATGTCATCAATCTGATCTCCATCCAGATGTGCTGAGAACCATTCCTATCAAATCCAGCTGGAGTGTGTTTGCATCTGTGACCACTTGTGTGTTTTCGGCTGGGGCTGATGAGGTATGTAGTCCAACCTAACAGAAGGGAATCAGATCAGGGAGAGCTGTTTTACAGTTTGCACCATTGTTTGATTTCCAGAACCAGGAAAGAAGGAAAACTAGCCATAACTTTAGCTTTTGCCAGATTAAAGAAAGGGTGTAAATATCTCTAATAGGAGGAATGATGGTCTGGAAGTCATGCAAATGTGCCACATCTTTGAGCTTGAAATTGCAGTCTCAACACAGCAAAACAGAACAGGTATCCTTAGACTGCCACCTTTCCAGATGCTCTGTAGAAATTTTAAATACATGTATGTTCACAAATGCATGAAGCGCACGGATGCATGCACAATCACAGACATCCAGAGGTTTTAGTCTGTTGTCCCCTTTGCTAACCCAGTTATTAGCAAAGTTTTTACAGCCAAGTCTTTATAGCTGGCAATAAAAATGCCGGCCGGAGCCTAGCATGTGAAATTATCTCTGCGGTTCCCATACTGGTACTTTCGCAAGCCACAGAGGGAACTAAACGCATTTCTCTATTCCACCCTGTGTCTTTAAATATTGTTGCCTCAATTAAATAGGGCAATTGGTTTTGTTAGAATTGTTATAACTTCGCAGCATGGAATGGGGAGCCCCTACCATGAAGCAATTATGCAAAAAAGAAAATATTTAAAGAACATCCTGCTTCTTATCATGATCTACAGGCAGCTTAATGCGGTAAACGTGGCTCCTGAATGTGGACCTGTGTGATACTGGTTTTTCCATTTCATATGTGGCAGATATAAAATAGAATGATGCCCACTCATTTTCATGGCACAATCCTTTGGCACAGAGAAACAAATCTCACAGAGCTCAGTGAGGTTTCATCCCTTGTAAGTCATCACATATAGGACTGCTAACTTCAAAGTTTTACATACGCATACAAAACTATCTGGCAGGGAAGACTGGCTAAGCTGGAGTTTTACATGCATATATTGCGAATTTGTATTAAAACATTTATACTCTTATGATTTAGCCAGAAAGAGGGTGCCTCTTATACTGACCAGCTGGGACAGAAACCATACAGGCAGCCTTCTGACACAGTTAGCACTAAATAAAAGTTGATGGACAGCCCAAGAAGAGCTGATGGCCTCTCAGCAGAGGTAGATGACAATTGTATATAGTTGCACTACATTCACACAGACATCTGGGTAGCATCAGTGTACTCACTGATATATGCCATACTGTGTCTTGAGCTCCCTATGTATATAGATTTTTTTGGAAATTATTTGAATGGATATTTGTGTGCATTTTTCCAGATAGGCACAGTGATGTATTTGAATGATGAGGACTACATTTGAAAGCATCAAAATCTTCTGGCTAGCTAAGCTGAGATTACCACCCAAGTCTGAAAGAGGGTAATTGATATCATTCACATTAGTATGAAAAAGGGATTTGCAATTAGCGGGTTTTCTTTCTCAAGGGTGGTTTAGCTGTAGATTTTCTGCATCAGTAGGAATTTGGTCTAGACTAGAGGATCCTTGAGGATCTGTTCCACTTCTTTTCTATTGTTATGTGCTGTCAAGTAGATTCCGACTTACGATGATTCTACAAATGTGACCTCCAGAATGTCCTACCATGAATAGTCCTGCTCAGGTCTTGCAAATTCAAATCTGTGGCTTTGTTTATTGAGACAATCCATCTCACATTTGCTCTTTCCTTTTCTTGCTGCCTTCAACTTTCCCTAGCATTGTTGTTTTCCAGAGTACCTTGTGTTCTTGTGAAGTACCCAATGTATGACTACGTTGGTTGTGTCACTTTTGTTCCAGTTCTGTAATTTTATAATAAGCTGAAGACAACTCCTGTGCTCTTTGGGTAATGGTGTTGGAAGGGGTTCATTTAATATTACTTGCACTGAGTAAAATGCCCTGGACTGTCACTCAAAATGAAAACCCCAGATGAACAAGGGGGCACCTATTCAGACACAACAGGAGGGGAATGTTAAGGGAAGCGGGGGGGGGATTTAGGTCTCCCAGACACCCATGTTTCTGCTGTTGCTGAGTTTATTCCAAACCCTAGCATTCACCCAAAGTGTTACATGTCTGCCTAGACCAAGCATTTGATCGGTTTCTAGGAAAGTGAAAAAGGGGAGATAAACAACATTTATTTGGGGTCTTAGCACACCCCCGTTTGGGCCCCTTCTGGCTTCGCTTCTCCCCAGTGTAAAACCTGTGTGCCTTCCGTGCTTCCTGATGCATGACATGAAAAGGGCCTGTAGCTTTTCCACTCCGATGTCACAATGACATTTGCTATCATCCTGCAGAAGGTCTGCTTACCCTCAGTAGGCGAGCTAACTCCACGGATGGGCACCATTCAAGCCCATTCTTTCTGTTTGTGCCGTCATCCTGCACAGGGCAGCCGCCTGGGAAATCTTTGAGATAAATGGTCCAAAGAAAACAAAATCCAGGCTTGAGAAAAAGGTTTCCTACCTGTGTTGCAAATGGTGTCCACATTGAAAGTGGATGGATGTCGCCACCACCTCTTCTCCCACCTCTGCCTTGTAGTCCTTGTTGGTTGCAATTCATTCTTCTCATGACACGAGGCTGATGCAGCATCTGCAGGATGGCAGCGGCATGCTAAGGAAGAAAAAACCCTTTTCAAAATGTTAACAGGGAATGGATTGTCAAAAGCATTTGGATACCTCATTGCGAAAGCTTTGAATACATCTTAAGGCCTAGCTGTGATCATTTTGATCACGGAGCCAAAGAGATGGAAAAGGTTGAAGTACCTCTATATGAAGTAGGAGAACCTACACTGTTAAGCTTCCATTGCCCAAGGCTCTTTAGGGGCTACAGATCCAGTCTTGATCTCTGGGACAGGGTGGCCCTATGTCCTTCTTTAGTCAGGACAGCCCTCCATTTGAAGATTTTGTTGACGTGTAAGTGGCCACTCTACCTGGCCTCCCAGTGAGTTTCCTTGGGCACATAGAGTTTTCGTTGTGAAATGTATCTAGCAGCCTTCTCTCATTTTTTTAGTAAATTGCCTGGGAAAGGGTCATTTCGTAAGGAAAAAAAAAAGCAGACCACACAAACTGAGGTAACTGCTCTGAGTGGCAAGGGAGACTATGGCCTGGCAAGACCATCCTGTATCAACTCCAGGTGTGAGGTCAATCCCAGAAGCAACATTCTGAAAACCCTGGTCAGACCATTCCTCAGAAATAACGAATTGCTGCTGAGCTAGATATTTCTTCAAAAGCTCAGTGCTTTCTATTTTCTCTCTGTATACATTTATTTGCAGGAAGCAGGAGGCATAGGGCCTTTCAGAGAGTTATGAAACGTTAGGCTTTATTCCTTTGATTTCTATCCCATCTGTATCTCAGCGCTGCATCTCAAGCGGGTTACCTCGTCACAAAGTTGTGCAGTATGGTGAGCAGTAGTGTGTTTTTCACTTAAATTATGGTAATAATGCCTAATGGTGATGCTATTTCCATACACTGGTTTAAATTAGTGTAGGCAAATTGAATGCAAAAATGTCTTCCTTTTTGTGAGCATGTCCTCCTCTTCAGTGTTCCTTGGTGGCGATCAAGCAGTGGCCACCTGTCCTTGGACTGCCCTTCTGGAAATTGTTTCCTCTTCTGCTGTGTGTGTTTGTGTCCATCCATCCACCCATCTATTGCATAGATCGTAGGGCTTTTAGGCAATGACAGCAGCAGAGAGTGGTAAGCGAGTCAGGCATACTAAAGGCTATGGATTCAGAGTACTCACTCCAGATGCTCATGGTAAGTTAAAACAAGAAATGTACCAATTGTATTTCCAAGAAAGCCATCCAGTATAAAATGTAAACTTGAGCACAGAAGCCTAAATATCTGGATAGATCTTATGTGTCAGAACAAAATCTCTCTCTTTTGGGTATGGGATGTTCTGAAGTGATACTAATGAAGAAGGTAGTTCTCTGAGGTGGTTCACATACATACCTAGCAGGTGGTCCTTCTCACATGATGCTGAAGGCATATGTTGAACTGCTGGATAGTTCAGTGGTTTAGGTATCTGCCAGAGGTTGGGAGTTCAATTCCCCACTGAGCCTCCTTGATAGGGTTTGATAGGGTTCCTTCCAGCTCTGCAGTTCTAACATAATGATGACAGGCTTTTTTCTTAAGGTAGCTAGAGCTGTAGGCACCAGCTGGCATCTCCAAGAAATGCTTCTCTAGGTCAGATTCCACTCATTCTAAGGAAGAGCTGGCTCTCACTTGGTGATCATAACAACCCGAACTTTGAAACTGAATGTGTTGAGCTTTGAGAGACCTTAATAGGAACCGTATCTCAGTCCATTTCTGATTAGGGAAGAGAAAAGATTGGAGCTATCCTGATACATTAAGTCTAACGAATCTTAATTGTTTTGCATTGTCTTTTTTGGCTTAGGTCTTGGGAAGGAAGAGAGGCTAATGAAGCCACAACTGGATGTTATTGGAGAAACCGTCACCGTCAACGCTGGAGGCTCTCTTGCCCTAACCTGCAGGTAATTTGTATTATTTAATTTATTTATTTATTTGATTTATATACCACCCATCCGGCAGCCAAGGTCACTCTGGGCAGTTTACAACAAATAACAAAAAACAACAGAGTAACAAAATAGCACATAGTGGCATTAATACATAGGGGTGAAAATAAAAAATCATAAAGTGAAGTGAGGATAAAATTATAATACAATAAATACAATTAAAAGCATAGAAGAAAATAAAAACATGGAGCATGACAATATGATAGAAGTTATATTATTGGACACTGTTGTATCAGAGTGTAGTTTATTCAGAGAAGGCTTGTCTAAATAGCCATATTTTTAGCAGCTTTTTGAATGTGCCCACTGAAGGGGCCAGGCAGACTTCAGGCAGAAGAGAGTTCCATAATTGTGGTGCTACCGCCGAGAAGGCCTCAATTCTAGTGGTTGTTTTCCAGGCCTCTCTTGGGGTCAGAACTCTCAGCCCCCCAATTTGTACTGTACTTGGGAAATCCTGGACAGAATCTTGAACTCCAGGATCCATCCCAGAACGCATGATGTAATGGGGCATCCTTCTGACCATATGCAGAATGCCAATAAATTGGGCTGTAGTGCCAATAGGAACTTCCCCTCACCGAGGCCTTATCAATGATGCAGTGGGTGGATTTTAATTCATGCTTCTCCTCCTCATCCCTACCATCATCATGCTCCCTGATCCTTTAACTAAAGAAAAAGGACGAAGCATCTTGAAGCAAAAATTTTAAAACATTTTAAATAATAATAATAATAATAATAATAACAAAGATTCATAGCCTCTGCTAGGAGACTTTAGTCTCCTTTTCACTCTCCCTGGCTTCTTCCACTCTTAGAGATGAGAGTAAATGGTTTTCAGTTTAACTTGGAAGAAATCTATAGTGTGTTTTCCCTCTAGTGTTTTTGAGTGTTTGATAGCAACAGTTTCAGACACATCAAAGAGGCACTATCTTTTCCACCAAAACGAAATATAATCATACCTTTTATCCCAAATCGATACCGAGCTGTTCATAACCTTGTCCAAAAGCTGTTGTATCAGAAAAGTACGGAGAAAACAACCTCGCCTTCATACTCCCTATGTTTTGACAAACTTTTAGCTCATCTGCCCTGAACCACTTGAGCAGACACCCATCAATTACAATGTTATTTCAAGAAGAGGAAATGGTAGAATCCAGGGTCAAAGGTACCTGTTCCAGGAAAGATACAAAATGTTCACTCGTTTGCGAACTATTTTCACACTTTAAAGCAGATCAAACCACTCTGCAAGATTAACATTATACTATTAAAGAGCACTAAAGTATTATTTAATTCATCAGTGGTTAAAATCCTACCGGTGATTGACAGTGGCTTAAACACAATTGCACTGAGAATTTCCTGTTAATTGTTTATTTATTAATTTAAAATGTTTTGCCATACCTGTCTCATTAAAAAAGGACCCAAGGTGGCTTACATAATTGTTAAAAGCTAAGAATTCTCAATTTGTTGTTCATATTCCCTATTCATTTTTTTAAAAATGTGCAGGGATACTAGGGAAGCACATCACTGGGCTGGGTGTTCCCCCATTCCAAAACATCATGCCAGCTTAGGAGGTCATCAGAACGCCACCCAGAGGCATGCCCTATTCTTTCCTAGAACGAAACAGTTGATCATGAGGCGTTTGAATTGTTCCAGCTTGAAAAATGTAGAAGCCTCCAGCAACCAGGGGGTGGGAATGAGCTCTGAATCAGATGTGAAAAAAGGCCAGGGTGATTCACAATGGCTTTTGCATTGTGTGAATACTTGAAAATTCACCATCATCATAGAATGGTTGTACTTGTGGAGTAAATCCTGAAGTATCTGACAGTGTAGCTGCATCTGAAGTGAGACATGGAAACTTACCTGCTGGTTACACTTCCAGACTAAGATGGAGTCTGCATTTTGATGTGTTCTGTTGGCAGGGGTGCACGTGCCTTGACGTGGTTCTGGCACAATGAAAAATTCACCGATGGGAAGCGGTGGCATGTGGACAAGCAGCCGTGCCCAGAGAGGCCATCCCAGACCTGCAGTACTCTCGTGGTGAACCCAGCCATCGGCAATGACACTGGCTACTTCACCTGCCATTACAGCCACCTTCCTTCAGATGAAAACCGGAAGGCCAGGATATATGTCTTTGTCAGAGGTAAATGCTGTGGAAAGTTGTTGTTTTTTATCCCCTTTCAACACACCACAGTTCTGTGTGGGAGACAGCAAGGGCAAAGAGGGAGAGAGCAACTGTGTAATGGGCGTGGCGTTGTTGGCAGATAGCCACTGATTTAAAGACTTCTTTTCATGATCTGGGGATATGCATGGCTCATACACAATGCAACAAAGTTGTGAGAACCCCAACAATACAAAAGGAAGCCTTCAATCAGCAGCAGTGCAATCCTGCACCAGTTTTTAGGAAGTAAATCTCATATCCCTTTTATCCGCATCCATAGGATTGTGGTGTAAATTATTTATTTTCTATTTCCTTTTGCACACTCATCATTCCCCTTCCTTAACAATGCAACAGCCCGGGTGGGTGGGGAGGTCCTTAACAGCTGTCTCATTCTGGTTCTGTACGATTTGCTCCTTTCCATCACAACTTTCTGCTCAGAATGCGCCCATCTCACAGTCCGGCCCCACACCAGCATCTGAGCCACAGGCAGCCGGACACTGGAAATTCAATTCCTCGATCACATGCAGTGTTTTTTGTTTTCCAGAAAATTAATAGCTGACCATGACCTGAATTACCCTTACTACAGTTTACTGCTTCGTGGGTTTTGAGAGACTCATCTGGGACCACCTGAGTGCTTTCCTTTTTATATACACAGTACAGTATTATGAAAATCTCCCCTGTAGTGGGCAAAAATTGAGCACTGATTACATCTAGAAATGCCTCAGGATGTCCTCTAAGTCTCTGGCCGCTAGCTGTGTGTTGTGAAATCAATCTGGCATTTGAGCGATACAGAAAAGATAATTCCACTTTACCTGATTGTGAGCCTGCACGCACATACGGGCAGCAAAGCTTGGAGAGATGATGTCTGTATGCACACCATCAGCTCAGAGGACAGATGAAGCCAGTGGAAATGAGAAGACTATTTAAATGATGATAAAACATGGCACTCATGTGGGGGGGAAGCAGGATAAATTTGATTCTGATAACAACAGGTTCCAAATGCCCTGAAAGACAAGACTGAAACAGTGAGTTATGTGAGTGATTCATTCCTCTATCATTGGTGGAAGAGAGGAATCATCACCATCATCTTAGAACTGCAGAGCCGGAAGGGGCCCTCTGGATCATGGAGCCCAGCCCCTGTCAGGCTCTGCAGCCAGAGACCTCCACCCCTGAGCTGTCCAGCAGTTCTAGTGTGGCTCTCAGGCCACTTATGGGCCCCAAGGGATTATTTCAGCCCTTGGACCTTCTTCACACTCCCAGTGCCAAATATTTAAATTTTGGGGTTTTTTTCTCCACACTCTGAGATGAAGCAGGTGACAATGGTCAAGGGGATCCCCAAGGCCTCCAGCTAAGGATGTTAAATGGCTTATTTCTCCCACCTCCTCTTTCATTCTGATTTGCAAACTTCCTAGGGCTGCCTTGCAGTTGTCGTTGTTTTCTTTAGAGACAAGAGAATAGTGCTTTCTGATACGTCATTTCCATCACGACCAAAATCTTTTCTAGCAAAGGTGCATTCCTCTCTGTCATGAAATACATTAAGTAGTTACTTCATGTTGATTCCGGAGCAGAGGAAGGTCTTGGCAGGGCATCATCTGATCTCCCTCTGGCAGCTGCCATTTCACCCAAAGGCAGTGGCCGAGAGTGACTGTTCCCAAACGCAGTGTTCCAGATCTTGTTGAACTACATCTACAGGACCTTTGAGCAGGCATGGCCAGTGTGAAGGGATTTTTGAAGCTACGGTGCAGAAACATCTGGGATCCCTTGCCCTAGAAACTATGTTCTGTGGCATCATGGGTTTGCTATTTTAATGCAACTGTCCCATTTTTATGGTTGCCACCATATTTTCATTAGCCTACAGGAGAGATTCTAAGTCCTTGAAATGGCTGATATTTACTGTCAGTGGATCTGTTGAGTCAAAATTGTTTCTGAATAGGAAGGGGTAGATAGGTAGTTGGTCCAGTTATTTATGGGCACAGGCAGGTGGGGTGAGGGAAAAAACACACAAGTAGATTGTTCTTCCTCTGAGGCCACTGGGCAATCCTTACAAGAGGCCAAGAAGAATAGTATTTTTCTCCTTTTCAGTGCTGAAATCCCTCGGTGGTGTAGTAACGGAAGTCTTCCACCTTCGCTACTGCTTCTTGGCCTTGCTTTCTGTTTGTGGAGCTTTGCAGGGTTGCTCAAAGTTTGGCATGGGGGCGGCTGCACCACAGCTGGAAAGAAATTGTCCCAGATTGCTCGGGCTAACAAAGAATCCTGCACGTTCTTGTTGAGAAACTGTATGCTGCTTTTCTGCCTGGGAGGACCCTTTTATTGAGTGATGGCTTATGTGGCTTTTGCTTTAAGTCTTTAATTATGGAAGAAAAATAATAATGGAAAGTTAAATATAACTTTCAATTGAGTGAATGGTATAAAGAAGTATGAAATTTAGCCATTAATGATACATTGACGTGTGCGGTTAAATAAAAAAAGGTATTGTCTAAAATGAAAGAATTTAGCATTATATGGGAAGATTTCATAACAGAAGTTTGAATGAAAGGAAAAGGTCAGGTGCAAGTACAAGAAATATAGCATTTTTGGAAGGGACAAAGGGCTTTGTAATGAGAAAGAGAATAATAATAATTAAAAAACATGTACCTTAAAAGGTCCCAGTTGTGGGAAGCACTAAATGTTAACAAGAAGGAAAGTATTACTTTGTATTAATGATGATATTTTTTATTTTCTTTTGTAGTTATCAATTCTATACTTTTTTGTGATTGTGATGTTTGTATTCTAGGTTTATTTTTCAATTAAAAATAAAAATGAATCATAAAGATGTCCTAAATTATGACTAGAAACAATGGGGTT